TACTACTAACAACAACAACTAAGTATATATATATATATATATATATATATATATATATAGAGAGAGAGAGAGAGAGAGAGAGCCCCAAAGCTATAAAAAGTACTGTGGCCAAAGTTGGATGCAGCTATCATGGCAGCTTTGACTACGCAAACGAGATTTATACACATTACAAATTGAATGCACATCTTCGACCCAGCCAAAAGAACCAGCTAAAGCACCTGTCAACCAGATAAACTGCAATCCCATTACCACAACTGACAAAAGATTCAGAACCATGTTTCCAAAGAGGAACTTCAAGGCACGGAATCTTCATTGTATCTGAGAATGTAACCACATGGACGCCGAAGATATGACCAAGTCCAAACAAACCACTCAGTCTGCAAATCAGTTACATATATCATAGAAAAATAATGAGATATCAGTTCTTCCTTGTTTTAATAACTGAGGAGGAAGATCATTTTTACCCCAAATGTCCAATTAAAATGTCCTGAATCCCATTTAATGTTCTTATAGTATGATTATCTCATCAAGGTCATAGGTGAGAATTTTCTTCCAGCTTTCCAAGCCCTCAATCATCTTCCAGCACCTAAAAACGTTACATAGGGCAGCCAAGATGACAGTCGACAAATATCACCGGAATAACTCTGAAACTTCAGAAATTTTAAAATGAGACCTCTAATAAGCCCTCACAATGTAAACCCCACTACTCCAGTAGAGTATGAGTGAGCAAAGATTCATTGCAGTCTCTCAAAACAAACCAAATTATTAAATGGCTCATTTGGCTGCTGTATGCGTTTCCGTCAGTTTCTGTATTGAGGTCCACAAAAAATCCACGCTTTTGCTCTTATGATTAAAACAGGTATTTCTAAGTTCTTTCATGCACAAAGGGTGGATCTTTTTTCTGTGCATGCACACATAACAAATGTGAGGTGACTTACAAAGAAGCCACCAGTACACATTTCTAAAATCACTTGAAAAGCCACCAAAATGGGTGTGGTACGCGTTTTGTGGTGGCATCCAGACAAGCAGTTTACCTTTACAAAAGGTTTTTGCTTCAAACCACATTCCATCTAAAGGTTCATGGTGCTCTCTAGAAACGCCCAAAAATGTTAACCTTTACATAGAGGTTTCTGTTTCAAACTAGATTCCATCTGCTAAGGAAGCAATCCATACCCACTGCAGAACGCTTATATCTTAACTTTGGATTTCTCCCCATGTCATTCTTCAGCAAGGTAACCTTCAAAAGGTTCAGAAAAAAGAGATGGCACACTCACCTGTCACCACTAAAGGCACCAGTTTAGCATGCCAATTGTTGATAGTAGAAACTTTCAGCAGTAACGAAAGATATCTGATCAACGAAAAAAAGGGAACACCTCAGCATAATCCTGAAATGATAACGAACCCTCTCCGGCAGCAAGATCTATCAGATGCTTCAAGCCCATGTAATTCATGACTTGTCTCATACTGTACTTCCCAACATGTCTAGTATCATACTTCTCCATCCTCATTTGCTTGCCCTACCGATTTAGGTCTCCTCATTTTCTTAGTTTATCTACACTATCACTATTCATAACAAAACCCATCATTATCTTCCTCCAAGTTTCCGTGACCAGCTCCTAATTATCGTACCTAATATACTATGCTAGTGTAGAAATTTTATGTACAGCAATAAAGCAGCAGGTGTAGATCCCTGATCCACACTAAGAGTCGGATATATTAATGCTAAGTGGTTGCCAGCCTGAGGGATGAGGTACCATCCACTGCTTCATCATTATCATTATGTTCAATATTTGGAGAACCTCACCCAATGCAAATTTTTTCAGGCATTCCTTCTTCAATATTGAGGCAGCTTGGTACCTATTGATTAGAGAAAAACCAAGTACCAACAACAAAAAAGAAAAAGAAAACAAAAATAAAAGAACTAGTCAGTATGACAGACGGAAAAATAAAAGTTTTTGCATAAGCTTACAAAGAAATAAGGGATTGTATACTATGAGATCATTTATTTTTTGTACAAAGAGGTCACAATCACTTTTGGTCATTGGATGTGAAATCTAATAGATGACATTGTGTCACAACATTCGAGAAATTTTATTTTGGACTTTGTGCCCAAACAATGACACACCATCAACCTCCCGATTTCAAATATCCATGGCGATTGTGACCTTGTTGTATCAGAAGTAAATGGTCTCATTGTATGCATTTCCGATAAATAAATCCCAAAAAGTACTAAATAAATAAATAAATCCCAACAAAATTGGAAGCAAGGAGATTGCCTGCACTGAGAAGACATTATTGAAGAGCGTCCTTCATTAGAGGCTAGATATTTTTGAAGCTGATCCCAAACTTCCTTTGGGTGCTTTTTGCTTGCTTTAAATGGGTCTATGCAATTCCACAACTTCTGATTTTGTGGGAGATACATCTTAAAAGGACCCCCCAAAAGGACAACTAGTATTCCTTCAGAAACAGCTCTATCTAAAGCCATGTCAACGCTGAATGCAGGTACTTTTTTATCTCTGAAACGAATGCAATCTGCTATGTTCGCTTCTGTAGGCATCATCTTGTCGAGCCTGAGTTTTTCAAGGGCACGTAGAAGAACCCCTAAGTTGAATAACTCAGTAGTGGATAGTTGTCGATGACCATTGGGAGCATCTATCAACCCATTACAGCCCATTTTGTTATCCAAAGAAGGCGTTTGCATCTCTGGCGCTGAAGAGAAATGATTAACATTTTTCATATTGTGAGAGAAAGATGCTGCACTATGCGCATGACCACCATCTTGAGGCATATTCATGTTTTTAGTTGTAGGGTTCATGGTCTGGGGGTTATGCATAATATTCAACCTATCAAAGTTGGGCAAATCGGGAACAGGACCGGGAGGAAAGCCTGACCAAGGAGGAGGACCAAAATGCGATGGGTTAGGAGCATATGCATGTGGTGGAAAAGAATTTCCATGCATGAAAGCAAGAGGATCCATAGGAGTTTCACCAGGCCTCAAGAAATGAGGTGGAGGAGGAGGGTTGCTTGGCCCAAAGGATTGGACATACTGGGGCTGGGTGTTATGTGCTTCAAAGTTATTATGAAAGTTATTCACATTGTTCCTTGAAGTTTCAGGAAAGGGCACAGAGTTTGTTGCGGTATTTGTCATGGAAACAATATTGGTTTTTGGTGGCTGGCTAGTGAAAAACTCATGAGAAGCTCTGAAATTTTGTGAAGCTAAACTTCTAGGGTCTTGCAACTGAGAGCTGTGTCCAGGAGAGCCTGATCCCGTTGTATTCATTTGGGCAGTTTGATGAAGATCACTACTCCCTGACTTTGGTATGGGTGTATAGCTTTGGTTTTGCTTCACAACTTTGGATTTCTCACTTTTCCCATTGCTATCTTGGCTTGAAGCCCAACTCATGTTGGGTTGGCTTTGGGTTTTCTTGAATTGCTTTCCTTTATATTTTTCAGTCTTCGGCATATTCGTACTTTGTTGACTACCGGAGAGATTTTGTCGGGAATCTAACGGAACACTTCCATTAACTGAATTCACAGAGTGATTTAAGTGTGTAGGGTCTGAATTGACATGTTTAAGTTGCTCAGAGTTCTGCTCTTGATGTGAATAAGAGGAACCATTTGAACCATTTTGCAAGGCCGACCCTCCCGCCATAAGGCTTGTCCAAAGCCACACAGTTGTTGCGGCAGCGAGAAGTGGTGCTGAAACCTGTTGAGGCTGGGCTAATAGAATGTTGTATTTCCTCAAGCGCAATTGGTGAAGTGCATAAGAGAAATCACGATCACCAGAAATCATCAAGTAATTCGCTGGAGCAGGATTATCCACCGCCCAAAAGAGCATGTCCACCAGAATTTTTTTGTCACTTGCATCTTTAATACCTATATGTTTTAAGGAGACTCAATAACCTCTAGGGAGTTTACTAAAATACATAATGTCAAAATTCCTACTAAGTCATATAACATGTGTTAGTAAATTATGACCCGTACTACGTAATGCTATATATTTTATTTTTCTTTTCTATGGAAAAAATATTCAAAGTTTGATGTGCTCCAACAAACACATGCAGCTCTTGAAAGGTTACAACTCAGCCTAAGAACTGTATGGCTATAGGAAGCAGCTGCCCACAAAGTTTATTCTTGTGAGTGGTAAATTATCTACTAAGCCAAAGGAAATGGGATTGGGTCAAGACGGTAGAGGCTAGGTTTTCATAGTGCAACGTCTCAAGTTCCATTCCCATGTAATGTTGTTAAAAATAAAAATAAAAATATTATCTACTAAGCCAAATCCCTTGGGTTTTCCTTTTTGATGTGTAAGGAACTTCATGAAATAAAAACCCAACTACTTAGACCAGTTACACATGACCAGCCCAAATACATGTCCCTGGCTCCATGTAAAATTGAAACAAAGAAAAAAGGAGAGAGAGACAGAAAAGCCACCAGTTCCATTTAAAATCGAAACAAAGGGCAGAAGAGAGAGAAAGAGAATAATAAATGATGGCTCACAGGACTTCTCTTAAACAGAAAATAAAAGAAAATAAATTACTATTAGGATTTCTTTATATATTTCCCTTGCTAAGCATGGGAATTTAGGGAGTGATATTATAGCTACAAACCAAACCAGGGCTTGAGCTCTAATGAAAGATGGGATCACATGTACAATTACACATGCAAGGCCGCAACAAAAGACACACACATGCACATGAACACATGCATACATGGTAGAAAATACAGAAAGATAAACCACAACGTAATGACAAAATCATGGACAAAGGAACCATGCTAATAAATAAAAATAAAATAAAAACCAAGGGAAATAAATGCCTGGCAAAAATAGAAAAAGAAAAGATCGAGACATATGAGTACACAATTCCATTTGGGAAAAAGAGAGGAACCAAAGGAAAAAAAAACCACATCTCAAGCAACGACAAAAACAAAAACCATAAAAAGGAATAGAATCTGAGCCAAATAAAAATAGTATAAAGAAACAACAGACCATTCTCAACTTCACATTCGTTTTCAAGTTTCCCATTATATAAAAGAAGGATCCTTGGGCCCCTTGCATAGGGTCCCCTATTTTGTTTGTCCACCCTCTATATTATTTTCTCTCTCCTCTGTATTTTTTTTCTATCTCTTTCTCTCTCTCATCCTCATCTAATAACTGTTGCAGTCTGAGCACCCACAATGTAATTTTTCTACAATTTATACAAAAGTTACCCTTATTCTCCAAAAAAAGATAAAGAAAACAACCTCAAAGAAATGGTGATAACCAGGTCTTTGACCAAGTAATAAAACACAGCCATAAAAAAAGGCTAAGCACATTAATCACAAATAAAGTGATGAAGGATCTGTCCACCTCACCGGAGAACTAAAAAAGAAAAGAGGAATAAAAACAGCAGCAGTGATAAAGGACATGCCAAATAAGAAACAGACCAAGTCGCACCAAAATACATGTCACTCTGCTAAAGATCATATCACAGAGAGAGAGAGATGAACAAAGAATTATCAGTATTAAGTAGAATATTTGATGGAAAACAAGACAATCACACAATAAATTCAGCCAATTGAACACCCTATTTTCTTTTTAATGCAATTGAATACTGTAATTAGGGATCAAAACCAAACCCCAATGCAAAAAGGAATTATCAAAAGGAAACAGACTAAGGCTAGGGTCAGTCCAATACTTTATAATACCAGGGAGAGGATATATCAAATTCGGTTTGGGGAAAAAGCTTCCATACCTGCAGGGACATGATTAAGGGAAATTCCGGTACTAGAAAGAGCATTTTGAACAGACGTAGGTATCTTGCTTGTGTCTGCATAAGCCGTGATATGGACTGTACCAATATAGCCCTCTTTTGCTAGTGCAGAGCTTATGTTTTGAGCAATGGCGTTGGGATCTGCATTCTTAGGGACCTGGCAATTTTCTATGTCCCACCAAACTGAGGTTTTGGCATTCGAGTACTGAGGATCCGCCATCGATAAACCTTCAAACCGTAGTAAAAGTTTTTTTTTTTTTTCAGTAGATACCAAAACCCTAATGGGCTTCACAAAGCATGAAATTTCCAGATGGTTTTGACTGGATTTACCAACCGAACCTCTAATTCTCGATTGCTGAACCTTCAAAACCCTAATCAATCCTCAATTCCCCATTAGCAAAACTTTTAAATCCTAGCCAACGTCCAACAAAAACTGCTTAAATTAGGGTTTCACAGAGCATAATACAATGAGATACTGAACCCTAAAACAGCCATTGATGAGTATTTCAAGCAGAGATGGAAGGGCAATTCCCAGAAAATGATAAATTTCGGAGTCGTCTAAGGTTGCACCGAGAAGTCTTTTGGAATCGCTTTCCACGCGCTTTCTTCTTTCCTCTCTCCCTCTCTACACAAATAAACCCCTCTCTCTCTCTCTCTCTCTAGAATCTAAAACTCTTAATCACTCTCTAGTATCTAAAATTCTATAAATAAAAGCCTCTCTCTCTCTTCAAATCAATTATTTTCCTTCTCATCTCCACCTCTTTAAATCTCTCCAGTCCTAATCTCTCTCTAAAACCTGCTTTGTTTTCTTTCTCGTCACTAAATAGAACCTCTCTTTCTCTCTCTAGATAAACCTGCTTTATTTCTTTCTCTTTCTAAATAAACCTGTTTTATTTTTTTCTTTCTTATTTAATATCATGTAAATACGCTTAGACAAAATTTACAGGCTCTCTATACAAATTGGGGGTATGGTTGCCTCCTTAAGTAAGGCAAATCCTTAAGTAAGGTTGACTCCTTATAGATGGTTATAAGATTTAAATTTTCAGAAATGGTACAAATCGAGCCTATTAATAAATATTAAAAAATCTTAAAAATTGATGGTCCAGATAATTTTTTTACAAAATATGCTATTTTGTTGGACTAGCATTCATTTTTTTTCTTTCTTATTCATGCATTTTGAGGTCGAGATGATCAAGTGGAAGGTCCTCCAATAATGTACAACTCCCTTCTATATGATTTTTGATATCCACCTATAAGTCAGCAAGTCTAGGGATAATAAAATATCGGTAGACCAAAATATCGGCAACAAATCAATTTTATTTCAAAAAGTCAGAGGAAAAAATCAAGACTAAAAAAAGGATCGTCAAAAATAATGTAAGCTATATAATTGTGAATATTTTGGATTTCGTTCAAAAAAACAAAGTGAACAAATAGGATATGTAAAGACGATAAAATACAGGATTACGATTTACAACTATTGTATAAATGTACTAAAGTAAATAAACAATAATTTTATAGCCTTACTAGTGTCATTAGAATAATACCTAACAATTTTTTGTTGAAACTTTAAATAAAACCAACAATAATGCTTATTTTGTTATCAAATCACAAAACATATAGTAGATCTATTGCGAGCATAAAATGAAACAACAACAATAATGCTAAACACAAGAATTAATCAGTAAATAACAAGAATTGCGGATCAAGGTATAGGATTATTTTTCAAAAAAAAAAAAAAAACACCCTCAATATAGGATTGCAGCTAATAAAAAAAAGCACAAAGACCCAAATATGTAAAATAGTGGTCCATCCAATATGCTATGTTGTATACACCAATAAAATACAAAAATAAAAAATAAATTATGAAATTAATCAAACTTCTTCATGTATTAAAAAAAAAAAAATGCTCAAGAAAATTTGAATCTCGCACTGAATAGCTACCTAAATCTTTAAGATATGCGATTGTTTTAATTTTTTTTTTTTTGGAATATATTGCTTGTATTTTTTTGTACGCTTAGTTTAAGATAACTCATTGGTAAAAATTTTGATGGAATTTTTTGTTAAATCAAGAATCTTAATTTACTCCCACTTTCAATGTATTTATCTTTAAATCAAAATTCAATAATATTAAGTTAATGAATAAATAAAATTATAGGGAAAGGTTTTTTTAAAAGCTTTTTTGAAAAAAAAGATAAAATACCTATTTAAATCGGTTCCATCCAAAATCGTGATTTTTTGAAGGTCTTTTGAAAAATTGGAGTTCTAAACATATTTCAAAAATTCGGAGAGAAAAAACATTGTTTTGATTGAAGACTTGCTGACTAAAAAAGGATTTCCTTTTTAGTGTATCTTTCTTTCTCCATTTTCTTATCCCTTAACGGCTATGAGATAAAATGACAAACAAGGAAATAACGTATCCGTTACGAATAAATGACTCGTGTTAACATAGACTCTCGACACTTGCCTTTGAAAATATGAAGACATGAAGTCTCTCTCACTATTGACTTTCTTCTCTCTTCTCAAACTTTTTTTTTTTTTTTTTTAATTAGTAACCTCTGCTCAAGCTTTTCGTTCCATATGTGCAAGAAACTCGCTCTATTCGGTTGTTAATGGATCCTAGCTAGACCAGACCCGAATCAGGTCGAGCTCATTGGACCTTCACTTGATCTGCTGGGTTGAACCGATAAAAAAATAAAAAGAAAAAGACAGATCTAACGTCCGTCTCTAAAGTCATGATCTCTAATAACGCCCTGGTCCTATAAATGTCTCATGGAACCCTTAAAATCAAATAAAAAAAAATGATTTTTAACTTCCACGTTTATTTATTTATTTTTTTTTTCATTGTCTAAATTATAGAATTTATCTTTCTTTTTTTCTTAATCACAATGTTATCTAAATCCTACAAAAGCTCTGTTTCTCTTTCTCTCTCTCTCTTTTTCTTATTATTATTATTTTTTTTTACCAATTCTTCCCCTTATCTTTTTGCTACCTCTTCCTCCCTCTTTCTCTTGCAACCTCTCTTAGTACTCATCACTCTTCATCCCAGGAGCCTCATAAATAAGTTAAAAAAGGGCATCACAAACTTGATTTTTATTATGAGGTTATTAGGGAAAAGAAGAAAGATAAATTTTATAATTTGAACAATAAAAAGGATAAAGAATGTATTAAATGTTCTTTCTTTTGTTTAACTCGAGGGTACTGTGGGCTTTTTATGGGATTAGATAGTTATTTGGGATAATAATTTTAAAGATGGGGGTATATATATCTTTTTCCCCAAAGTAAATATATTTTATAGAAAAAGTATACAAAGAGATCATTTACTTTAAGTACATAAAGATGACAAATACTATTGTCTATCGGATTTCAAATCAAGTGATTGTTACAGTGCTATTGATTAGATTCAAAGTTTAAAGTTTGTTTCGAATTTCGCAATACACACCAAACCATCCAATTCGGCATCTAATGGCTATGAGTAATTGGGACCTATTTGTACTAAAGATAAATGGTCTCATAGTATTGTATACTATTATAAAAATATTAGATTCGGGTTAGGTCGACCTTGACATTGGACTAAATAAGATCCATGATGACCTAGACCCCTGCTAGGTTGTGTCCCATTCATTTGGACCTATACCCTACCTTCCAAGTTCGATATTTGGGTCCAAACCCAAAACTGTGTCAAGCCCACCTACAAGGTCAGTGGTTTACTTGACCCAATTACCACTCCTACTATCTATGAATTCTTTTATTCCATAGTGCAAGATTTCTCTCTCTAAATTAGTGTCTTAAAAGCCAGTGATCCAGACAAAAAATCATTGAATCTAGATTCAGTCAAGACCAAACCAATTGCGAGGATATATTGCTACCTACCTTAACCTCCCCCCTCCCCCCTCCCATCCACCAAAATATATATAT